AATGCGTCGTATTGTTCCAAAATTCGGTTTACAACGGCAAACAAAGAAAGCCATCTAGTTTGCGATGGTTGTAAAATTTTATGTGGTTTAACACCTACAAATTCTTGAAACTCTGTATATTCTGTTTGTCGTTTGTAGCTATATTGTAAATAAGTGTGTATGTCTCGAGCTAAATCTTCAACAGAGTCAGGTAGTTTTTCGCAAGCATAATTTGCACAAAGGCTAAATGAATGACAAATACACTTCATTACAAAAAGTTCAGGTACATCAGATTTTAGTTTAGTCGATAGAGAATTATGTATGCCCATCATTACGCTCGCACCATCGGAAGCAAAACCAATTAAATTTTGTTTATAATTAATATTACATTTGCTAAAATACTCAACAATTGTAGTATAAAGAGCGTCTGCCGTTCCATCTGCCACTGGAAGTAACCCAAAAAACAAATCATCTACCTTGCAATTATTAAAAACTCGTGCCACCAAAGCTAAATGCTTAATAGCTCCTTTGTCTGTTGATTCGTCAACAATTAATGAGAATTTACTTGACTGTAGTAGTTCTACAGTTGTTTCAAAACTGTAAGAGCCAATAACATTGTTTACTAAAGCAGTTGCTTTTTTTCGATTATTGGTAATTTTTTTTGCAGTTTCAGATTCTGTGAAACTAGTTCTAATAATTTCAGATAAATGGTCTAAAGCATTGTAAGCAATATTATGTTCAGCTGCAAATGCAGCTATTCTAATTTCTGCAGTTTTTATTTTAGTTTCTAAAGATATTTTTTTTGTAAAACTAGGCATTTCAAGTAAAGATTGCTGTTTTTGAACAGATGTGGCTAATTTACAATGTAATTGTCCTTTTGAATGTTTTACAATTTCGGATTTACCACAAATAAAATCCTTGTTGCACGCCTTGCAATGAGCAAAAGTGGGTCCTTTTTTGCTGGACTCCAACCATCCTTTAAACTCCGGTTGTTGCTCCCACATGACGTTGTACTTTTGGGCATAAGACTTGGACTTTTTCTGTTTTTTCGCAATTCTTGTTCCCTCTTCTGAAGACGATGGTGGTGAATCAGAAATATCTTCTTTGGAAGTTGAAGGCCGAGATGAAGAGGCCATTTTTTAAATTTAGAAATCTGAAACAAAAACAAATTATAAATATTGATCTTTTTGAAGACACCTAATTGGCAAGCAATTTGATTTGATTTTTTTTATAGTTTAAAATCGGTACTTTCAAAAAAGTTCGAATTTATAAAGTAAAAATTGTTAATTTTAGTATAAAAAATATTTGTACTTACTTTTCCTGTATGCAGGGAATCACAAAACACCGCTAAACTGCGAGGATGTTGATTTTTTTCAAGGGTTTTTTCTTTCACTGCTTGCGAACTTTTGCATTTAAAGAAATTATTCAGAATGACGCAAAAGTTGCCTCGGGCTCTATTTATAATCTCGGGTTGATGCATTTTCTTGGGGGAAAGACCCATTTTTAATTAAGTAATTTTAAAATAATTTGCGTCGATAGAAAGGGTACCGCCAATTGAGATACCAATTTGTTTAATTCAAATTTAAGCGCTACTATTCACTCCCAGAGGGCGATACAATTGAAACAACCATAGATCTATAAACTTAAATATTTATTCAAAGTTGCACTTATAACGAAATGGTAGCGAAACTAATGACTTAAAATTTGAAAAAACATTATTAACCTTTTGAATTTCCCTAGATTACTCTGGTTTTTAATAAAAAATCCCTTTTTCCTTGAACAAGCATGAAATTCCCTAGATTTAGGGAAATTTCCCTAGGTATACCATCACTGGCGTGAACTAAGGGTGGGGGTTACGTGCAGTAAGCAGCAGCTAAGAAAGGAAGAGTGGGGGGGCAATAAAGAGTGCAATTGACCAATAAGGGTCAAAGTCGTTCAAAACAAGGATACAAGAGACGAAAACACTTTGAAAAAAAAAGCGAATATACGGAAATATAACTATAAATAAAACACTGAAGAAATTAAATAAAAAAAATCTCTCCTTATGGTTTATCTCTGGTCCACGCTGCAATCACGACGCCAGGGACTGGAGAAGATTGCTAACAATTAAAATTTGCCAGAAATAGGAATAACGGTGTGGATGATTACAAATAAACACGTTAAAATTTCCGAAAAACGGACAGGTTAAAACACAAGCACGAGATCATAGACGAAAAGTGAAAATAAAATAAAAAATTTAACAAAAAATTATAGTAGCCCAAAAGTTATAAGGTTATATGACCATTATAAAAGTAGTTGACCGCAAATAAATACCCCCTTTGTGTGGTTCGCGCTAAGCTTACCGGTTGGTAATAAATCGTCTTCTAAACATTTCTTGCTCACATTTAACAGGGCCGGCTTTCAAAGCGACTGGTTATTTCGGAACCCTTTGTGGCTGCAGGTAGTAGTAGTAGTAGGTAGTTAGATATTTAGTGAAAGCCACCCCTGAACGAACCAACAGTAGCCGGTCGAGCTGCATTGGATACGTTATTTACGACCTTAAATCCTTCTCTATTGTAAACAACTTAACTTCGACACAATGGGATAATTTTATGATGGTCATATAACCTTATAGCTTTTGGAGTACTTTAGATATATACACAAAATCGCCAAAAAACACCAACAGAGAGGGGGGATATTAATTTTAATGCCAAAAGTCGGGAAACAAACAGTTAACAAAAAATGAGATGGAAAATATTATCGCTCAGACAGCTTAAGTCCGAAATATAAACAAACACCGATACAAGACTAAAAACTTTCAACACTTCTTATATCGGACTGCTATCTGGCGATAAAACGAGAAAAACTGTTCGTACGAGTTAATTCTGAAATATTCCCGTACTTTCGCAAATTCAAAAATCGATAACTCGACAACCGGACATAGGATTGAAAAAACAAAAACGGCGTCGTGTTCGCCTTGTGAGGGCGCTTCTTTTGATACCCCGCTCACCTGTATCGGACACACTTTTCGTTTCGTGTGCTAGCAGAGTGTAGACGTGCATTTTGTCGCTCCGTACATTCGAATCATTTAAGTGAGTTTATTCCATATTGATTTGAGCCTCTCGTAAATCTGAATAATTATATATACTGACGAATAGATTGGTTTGTTAATTTTGTTGAAGGAAACATATTCCATGTTTCCTTCCGACTTTTACATTTTGATTGAATTCGTTATCATTCGTTTTTCTTACCGTCGACTTTTTTGGCAGAATTTGCTTATCTTCTACTTGACCCCAAACTGGCCGCAGTGTGATTTCAGCACTTGCGAGTGTCGAAAATGGCTATAAAATGCAGTAAATGCAATAGCACCGTAACTAGAAGTCAGAACTATTTGTCCTGTAATGTTTGTAAATCGAATTTTCACAATGAATGTGTTAACATTGATGATGATGCTTACAATCAGCTTCAAATGGAAAGAAAATTAACATCCTGGTTGTGTGCTTTTTGTTCACTTTCTGCCTCTGCCTCTGCTGCTTCTCATACTCAATCCATTCCTTTAGCTTCTGAACTTAATTTGTCTCCTCATTCTTTGAAAATGATCGAATCAATCATTGGAAACCAATTAAAACCATTAACTGATACTATTTCGATGTTAGAAAAATCAGTTAATAATTTATCTCTTGAAAATTCAAAATTGCGTAATGAAATAATCATTTTAAAAAAATGCTTACCCGCCTCTAAACCTTGTGATCAGATAATGTCAGCTGATGCTGATGAAATGCACGCTAAAACATCTTATGCCCAAACTTTAATAAAAAACTCTCAGAAAACTATTATAGTTAAGCCAAAAGGTGAAAATCAGAAAAATCAGTCAATTGCTAAAACTAAATCAGACGTTTTAAAAAATGTTGATCCTCTTACGGACATCAATATTGGGAAAGTTAAAAATCTAAAAGATGGTGGTGTGCTCCTGCAGTGTGACAGTTCTAGTAACTTTAAACAAAGCGCCATGAATAACCTGTCAGACCAGTATGATATTCGTGAAGTCAAGACTATTGGCCCAAGAATTAGAATTACAGGGATTCCTGACTACATAAAAAAAGAAGACATTGTCTTATATATGAGAAAACAAAATGAATCAATTTTTTACGAAAAATCAATTTGTACTTTGTTAAAATATGGCCCGGTTAAAAAAAATAATACCATTTTTCAAGCTGTTTTTGAAGTGGATTTGTTGACATATAAAAGGGCACTAACATTGGGACACTGCCTTATTGGTCTCAATGGTGATCGTCATAATTTGAAGGAATGCCAGGCAGATGTTGAAGCTTTTAAATGTGTCAATTGTTACAACTTCAATCTCAAAAATAATAATCATGACGTTAATATTAATCACGCAGCTTGGGATCATGACAAATGTCATTCGTACAAGATGGTCATTCAAAAAGTCAAACAAGATTTGTTTGGACTTTCCATATAGCAATCAAATGTTTATCCTCTTTTCCTCCCTGATAGTCCAACAATACCCCGCTACTCGTGTGACATGAACACCAATAATTCAATGCGTGATTCCCCTACTCCAGTTGTTTATTACCAAAATGTTAGGGGTTTAAATACCAAACTCCCGGAAATATATAATGCATTGGCTAGCTGCCATTATGACATAATTGCTTTTTCTGAAACTTTTTTAAACGACTCTGTCCATAATTCAGAAATTTCTAATAATAATTACACAATCTATAGGAGTGACAGAAAATATTCAGATGTTCATTGTCAACGTGGTGGTGGTGTCCTTCTTGCGGTTAAATCAAATTTTGCCTCGTATAAATATGATTTTTGTAATTTGCTTCCATTTTGATTCTCTAATAGAGCTGTTAACGAACGCGACGTCATCATTTGCGATGTCATAATAGTCATTATTTAACGGAACATTTTACGAAAAACTTAGGTTGGTAAAACTGTCAACGTGTCATGACCGCCATGTCAACATGTCAACATTGTGCATCAAATTTGACATTTTAGATGTTTGGTATTTAATATTGTAACTGTGATTTATTATTTTTACTGAATAGAAAATGCGCGTTCGAACCAATAAATAGAAGAAATAATCTTGTGGAAACTGTACACAGGGCACAGGAGTGTGGTATGCTGGTATGGACACAGTTGCGAGGGCTGCTTTTATATATCAGCCACATGAAGGTAAAATTAATTTGGTAGAAAATAGTGAAGCAAATCGTTTTTCTAGGGCTGCAACATAAAAGGTGAATGCTTCATGTAGCATCTTACGATTACCAAATGGTGGATCATCACCAAAGGCGTTGAAGTGACAGAGAAGTTTATCATCTATGATAACATTACGTGCAATGACAAAATAACTACATGTGCCACAGGTATATTTCATCAAGCATTTCTTCATTAAGTATCCACAGACATAACTTAAAGAATTTTGTTCCCCCATGTCCAGATGTCTGTAGTTTGTCGTATTTACTTCCACAGATTTACGGACAAAAGTTGTTCAGCTTAAAACTGTATTCATAATTTGACACTGGTTACTCTCTTTAGATTCAATTGCTACTAAAATAGATCCTAAATCATTACAACTATTGACATTTTTATTGTGCTGTAAAAATTGCATGCTAAATAATTTTTTATTGATTATAGAATAATATAATTCTTTATATATTTCTTATCTTACAGATTTCAAGAGAAATTTAAAGAAGCTGCTGAAGCAGGTTTTTTCATTGTGCCTGCAATCACGAGGTGGTCTACCACTGCAGTCCATGTTACTATGAAAAGGTTCTCACAATCACTTCACTAATTTCACTAGCAACAAATATTCAACCAAAAACAAAGTACTTTTCCCAGGGAAGATGAAAACAACAGCGTTCACTTTCTGACTCTTCAAATGGTTCACACTTGGCGAAAATTGAAGGCATTGACAAAATAGTTGTCAATGCCTTGTTAAATAGTTGTTAAATGTTTATGTTGAAATTAACTTGGTAAAGTGATAGACTTTTACTAATAAATATGTAAAATAAATATAAGCACAATTCTTTTTTATTGTTTAAAAAGGTATTTTCTTCGTGGTCTTCATACCACGCTTCAAATATTGGTTTAAGTTTTTTAATATTGATCCAATGTTTATATTATTTCTTTTTATGTTGTCTTACGAACTTGTGTCACAGTATAGATATCAATTGATGTCTATACTGTGCTTGTATTTGTAATTTAGGCAACCAATATTCCACTTCGTTTCAAATATTCCGCCTAATAAAAACGGTTGGGTAAGGACACCGTTGTTCCTATATTTGACGAACTGTCCCTCCTGTATGATATACTGTGTGTCAATTCATCTAGAAAGAAGAAGTAAGAAGTGTCCAGCGGAAAAATTTGATTTGGACAAATACAGGGTTTATATATTTGCAGTAATAGTTGTATTTTTACCATTATTGCTCGTTTTACCACCGAAGAAAATTAAATAACATAAACAATGGATTCATAGAAATTAAATTTGTTAGAACGTACCTATAATTATACAATTATACATATGGTCGTAATAAACAGTATTAATACAAGTTTCATTTCTCAGTTCTAATGTTTATCTTAGCTTTAATTCACATTAATCAAATTATTTGAAAAAACGCGCTACCGTTTTGTGAAACTCGCGCCATTTCGCTAGTGCGCTAGTTGTTCTGTGTGCGCTAGTAAAAGGAGTAACAGTCTAAAAGTGTGGTTACTGGTCTGTTAAATCATTTCTAATCAACAATGTAATAAAGAAAGATTCTATTCCTACCGAAAGAAATGACAAACGTTAATTTGACATTGGTTGCTGGAAGGTACAATTATTATATATATTGATATTAACTTTGGAATTATCTTTAGAATTTACAGTTAACCCATGTGTCGAAGACAAATTTTGTTCATTGTTTTTGCTATCAGGAACTGTTTTGCTTCTGTCCGAATTTATGTTTATTTCTTGCTCCGAAGCTGTGGAAGTGGAGCATCCAGGTAAGTTTAAATCCTTTTGTTGTGCAAACATATTTGCGACTTCAATTTTATTTTGCAGGGATGCTTCGACATAGGTTTCAGCAACTCCTGAACATTAAAACAGAACAGACATTAGTTTCCTTTCGAAATTAAAAACAAAGTGAATTACCTGAAGATTTCCATCCACCTAAGCGTTTTATTGTTAATAAATCGCCGCCAGAATTTGCGATATGTGTGGCACTAGATCGCCTAAAACAATGCCCTGTAAAATGTTCAGGATCTGATAATTTAAGAAAGGCAGCAATTATTTTAGGCACTTTTCCTATCACATTAATCCCCATAGGGCAATTAATACAATACCCATTACGGTACGTTAAAAAAAATCGCCGGTGGGTTACTCTTTTAGGCCTTAAGTTGGCATATTTTTTAATTAGGTGAATCCAATTTTCGTCTGTCACGAGGAAAGTTCTAGGGACATAATTTTTGGTTTTCGGTATAACTACCATTATGGAATCAGCTCTATATTGTATGTCATCTACACACATATTCGTCAACTCCTCTCGCCTACATGCTGCATTATAACCCATGATTAAGATAACCTGAAATAAATATCATAGTTGAATTTGAAGCTACAATAATGGTGACCTACTTTCATTGCCAAGTATGTCTTATCATCCGCATCACTCAGAAATGTGTTTATATTATTCTCTTCTAAAATTTTAGATTTCTTCGGAGTATAATGTTGAGATGCTCGTTTCAATAAAGCCTGCAATTTGTTGAATTTCGAAATATCAACGTTTTTGTGTACACTCAAGCAGGACCTCAACATCGAGTAAATTGTCCATAACGTCGATGGCTTGTATTTTGTACGCTTAAGTTCAAAATATCCAAGTAGGACATTTTCGGAGATGACGTGAATATTATTTTGGTTGCACCATGATTCGAATTTTTCGTACTTTGTGACATTATAAAACAAAAGCCGACTAGAGTAAATTTTCACTTTTAAAATTAAAAGATCATTGCCAGTAGGTACCAACTGTCACAAAAATCCCTAAATCGGCGAAATGAAAATTTTTTTTCGAAAAACGGCATAAAATGGCAAATTACAAAAAACTGTATAAAACACTCGTTTCATAAGACCCTAAAGCACTCATTCTTTAAAAAAACTCGTGGCTACGCCACTCGTTTTTTTAAACTTGAATTCGTGCTTTAAGATTTGTCTTATGAAACTTGTTTTTTAATATACTATTAGGGCACTCATGTCTGAGAAAACTCGTCTGAAGACACATTTTATAATTTTGGGCTTCTAAAACAGTTTTTTTCGCAGAAAGTCTGGTTCCGTTCCACGACTTTGGCATGTTCAAATTCCGAACGAGCAGTATTGGTTAACCAACCTTCAACGTCAATATGGTATTCCAGAAAGCTCCAATAAATTGAGAAATTCGAATGTAATAATTAACAGCTTGATTCTCTTCTGCAACGGTGTCAATGGATTTGTGCAGAAACAACTCCAAATATGCGCACACATTTTGGTCTACAGTGTAGTTTTCTTCATGTCTTCAGATAATTGTTAAGGCATTTGATGGAGGTCACCGGTGGGCGGTATCAGAGCTCCGTTCATTGGACGTTGAACGTTTCGAAAATCTCGCAGAGTACGTTCAAGTGCCTCAAGTCCTTTCTTATGGGCTACGGTACATTCATCCCAAATAACGAGTTGGCATGTTTTCAAAATACAGTTGCCAGTTGAAATGATTTTCCAATGTTGCAAAGACGATCTGCAGCTAGATGTAAATTCAATGGCAGCTTGAGAGCCGAATGCGTCGTGAGTCCTCCATCAAGTAGCGTTGCTCTGCAATTCCGATGATGCCACACCTAGAGCAATCTCATGCTTCATTCGAATTTCGGCATTAGATTGACTAGAAATGTTTTTCTTGTGCCTCCTAGTGCATCAAGAAAAATAAGTTCACCATTTCCGCCTATACATTCTCCGTAACTGTCGCATACGAGTCGTTAATCGTTTGTTAAGAGTGTTTTCTGAGCCTCAACATAAACTTGCAGCGCATCGATTGTTATTGTTTCTCTCGCAAACATTAATAATCAACCATTATTCTTTAATAGTTATTCAGTAATTATAGTAAATATATGGGTAATTATATTTCTCAGTTTGAAAACTTTAAATAACTCACATAAAAAACGAAAGATGGCAACTATATTCACCTAATGCCTACCTTCTCCATGTTGCCTTTATGATGGTTTTTTGACAACCCCAACCCCTAGTAGTGAGGTTTTTGCTTAGTACTATGGCGCCCCTAACGGGAAGTAACCGGAATACGTTTGTCAGCATTCCGCGGGAGAAACAAACAAAATTAAAACAAAATATCGAACAAACTTTGAACCGGAACATTCCACCCAATAAAAGAAAAATAAACAGTTTTTTTACGTAGGTTTAGCACAATTAAAAACTAAAGTTATGATCGAAAACTAACTAATTGACTATGTGGGGTATGCGTAAACTATTGACGGGGTAACGGGCAGAGCTTTACCAAAGGAAGCGTAACTGCCCCGTTCGTGGTGCGCACTTGTGCCACTCGCACTATCCCATCTTTACCGGGATGCATTGACACAATTCTGCCAAGTTGCCATAGCAACGGGGGTGCCAAATCGCCCTTTATTACCACAAGCGCATCCACTGCGGGTGGGTTATGGGATGTGTTCCACTTATTGCGTTGTTGCAAAGTGTAGAGATATCCTTGATGCCATCGACACCAAAAATCCTGATGGACGCGTTGAATGAGATGTCACCTTCGTTCGTCAGGGATCGCCACCATTGGTCCTGTGGTCAAGAAATGTCCGGGCGTCAGTACCAATAAATCGTCCAGATTATCCGCCGAAATAAGACACAAGGGTCGCGAATTTAATACCGCTTCCCATAATCCCCCCTTATGGGGAGCCGATGGGGGGTTACAGTGCCATTTTATGACGCAACTACCGCCTGCCGATTGCATATATTCATGAAGGAGATTATTGGCACCGACGAAATTCGTGCCGCAATCACTACATAAGTCGGTGCACTGTCTTCGGCCTGCCACCAGACGACGCAAAGCCCCTAAAAATCCTGCCGACGTTAAGTCCGATACTAGTTCTGGATGAATGGTTTTTACCGCGAAGCAAACAAAAACGCAAACGTAAGCTTTCAAACGAGATAACCCCAGTAGCATGCAATATTTTTCCAATATTTATATAATATTAATATTATATTAAATGTTGATTAGATATTACAAATATTTATATAATATTCATTTTAAATTTGTAAATTTATATATGAATTTCAACATTTATTACACGTTTATTAAATTCTTTTTAATAAGAAACCCAACAAAAAAATGGAAAAAAATGCACCACGTTATAACAAAGTTATAATTTGCTGTTAATATATCGGTTAATTGCTGTTAATATATCGATTGTACATGGGATACCATGTTTAATCGATATATTAACAGCCTCGAAGCAGTTCAACGAAAATTTGTCAAATTTTTATGTTTTCGCTGTTACGAATTGAAAACTCGCAGTAGCTATTTCGGTTTTTATTGGAATTCTCGGATCTGATTACATTTTGTTTACTCGTTTTTTTTTTTTGCTTCGTCATTTCGTGCGTGGGGTGGTTGGGTTGGGCACGGTGGCAATGAAGGACAACTTTGGAGGAGGGTTTTGTCCCGAGCTTTTGACTCCACCAGTCGCAAGACTGTCGCGATGATTCTGAGTTTGGAGGGGCTCAGATGAGTGTTTCAGCCTCGCTGTTGTAGATCGGTCTTTTGGATCGTTTCAGCTTGGTTCTTGCTATAAGGAACTGGATGGATCGCGCCATCCCAGAGCTTCACTCTGAAATTCGATTTTCGTTCTTTTTGTTATTTTTGTTCGCGAATTTCATTTGCTTACCTAGGTGTCCTTTTTTGCAGTTCGCTTTAGCAACCTTTTACTCGTCGTTTCGTTTGGAATTGCATTCGTCGGATCTGCTTGGTCCCCTAAGAGGTGCTATCGCTT